CGAAGCATCCTGGGGCAACTAGGAAACAGTGCCTTGGTCTGTAAAGGGGAGATGTCTAGTTTGGAGCGGAAGGCAGAGAGCTAGCCTTTGAGCTGAGAATATATGGTGTGGGAGCAAGGCCTGGGGCCCTGGGGCCTCACCCAGGTAATATTCAGTTCCCGGAACACAAACACTTAAGCTCCACTTCCCAACGCTGTTGGATGCTCACACATTCACACACACAGAAACACTTGTTCTGCAGAGGCTATTTCCAGGGGGAAATACCCCATTTAAGGACAGAGCAAGGACTATCAGGTTTTGGGGGCCCCAGGAAACTGGGGTAGGGGAAGAAAGGAAGAGGAGCCAAGCAACACAGACTTGGGCAGGGAGCAGTGGGGCAAGGCCCAGGGAGAAGAGGGCCTGAGAGTCGGGGAGGAGCCTGGGGAGGCGGCCACAGGACTGAGGCTCGCTATAGTCTCTTCTGCCTTCAGCAGGAAGGATTCTGAAGAGATGTGCAGCATCTCAGCGCTGACAGGGACCCTACTGATGCTCTAGTCTATTTTATAAGAGAGCAAGAGACTTTCAATTACTTCCTCAGAAGCTCCAATCCTTAGGCTCTGTCTGCATTTACGTAAACCCACGGGCACCATACTCTCCACCCCATGCCATTTGGGGCTAGTGATACGTAGGTATAGGAGGACAGCAGCCAGTCTGGGGACAGAGGGACCATTGGGGGAGAGGTTGAGGATCCAGGTCCCCTCTTAGCCCAGGTGACTAGCGCCCCTGCCCCTCAAACATCCCTGGGTTGTCAGTTGCATCACTTTCCGCAGCCCTCCCCCGCCCCCCCACCCCAAAGACCAGCAGTCTCTCTGTTTCCGACTCCTGTCTTATGACTGAGCCTGAAGAGGCTGTCCCCAGGTCTGGGCCTCTTTCCGGCACTGCCAGCCTCAGAGCAGCTCCACCGTTTCCAGCCCTGACAGGGACTCTTTCTTATAAGCGGTCATGTGCTAGGGGTACAGGACATCAGAGGAGGCCCACACCCTGACACTGGGGGATCAGAGCCCGGGGGCAGGGACTGAGGTGAGTTTAGGCAGCAAAGCTCCTCCACCTCCATCTTTTCAAGAGGGTCTGAAGCCATCCAGTCCCTTCCCCCACACCAGGACAAGGCACTGGACCAAGCCATTCCACTTCCTTACTTCTCCAACGAAAATAAAATGCACATTGCCTCGCTTCCTTTTTCCCCTCACAGGAGCCTTGCGTGTGTGCGTGTGCATACACACACACACACACACACACACACACACACACCCTGAGTCATGCACACGCACGCTCACACACCCGTGAATGCACACCTCACATTCCCAAACTCACATCCAGGGCCGGCTCCTTTTACAACAGGTCCCAGCCGCTCACATCTCAAACCGGTTCTCATGCTCTCAGATTCCTGAAGGTTTCAGAAAACAATCTCATTTGGGGGTTGCTGATAACTTTCTTCTTTCTCTGCCTGTAATAATTCTGGCTCTCGTGTCTTCTAGTCCCCTCTCTCTCATTTCGCCCTGTAGAGACTCAAGGAGATGAGGGGTAAGAAGTGAAAAGCCCCCCCCCCCAACATCAACCAGGTTCCCTCCCCCAGGGGACATATCACTGAGAGAAGAGAGGTCAGAGGGATTCCTGAGGAATTTCTGAGGAGTCCACCCCCTTCTCTACCCTCTGGAAAAGGGGGGTGGGCGGGCTTAGCGGGAACTGATTGAAGATCATCAGGCTCCAAGAGTGGGGACTGACTCTCTCCCCAGTGTGGCCTGAATGGGGCATGGGCAATACCCGGCTGCCCATGGGGCCACCCTCACCCGCTGACACGGTTATGGTTTTCATTTCATATTTTGGAGGGAGGGGCTAAAAGGAACAGTCCCCTCACTGTAAGAGCTGGCCACAGGAGCCCAGGGAAGCGGGGAGGAGAGGAAACAGCCACATTAAAGAGGAAAAGAGGGGTGGGGGAAAGAAAGAGAGAGACACACATACACCCAGACAGAGACCCGGAGAGACGCACGGAGACAGAGAGACACTGTTTGCAGCCAGATGAACGCTCTCAGTCCCAGGGATGGTGTTACTTGGAAACTCTAAATACACGACTTTATCAAAAGTCTATCCCTAATGAGGAGAGAAAACAACCAGGTAAACGAAACGGCCAGGCTGGCTCTCCCGGAGCCCCTCCTGGGGACAAGTTTTCCCCGGAGGCCAGGAGACCTTTTCATTCAGCTGTAACCTGAGCCCTACACCAGGATTAGGCCTTTTTAACCACTGCTGCTTGTCCCCCCGCCCCCCCCCCCAAAAAAAAGCAAATTAATGCTTTTAAGTTAACTATTATCTTGGTTATCCAGTCTGTCTACTTTAAAATACACAGACAGGCACTTAGAAAAACACTCAAAACCATGTACCCTCATGCTTGCTTACTCCCAGTCACACAAGCTTACCCACCCACTCATCCACACACAGTTCTCGAAGACACTAAAAACATCCGTATTCACACTTAACGACTAAGTCACAATAGACACAGATTCCCAGCTGTGTCACCTGTGGTGACCCTGTGAAACACACACACACACTCACTCACCTGCACACTCAGGGCTCCCTCCCTGATCCCTCCCCTCTTCCCCATTCCACACCAATTTGGTCCCCCGCCTCCAATATCTGGAGAAAAGAAACAGAGTACCAGATACCCCAGAGATATAGTAACTGTGATAGATACTTGCCAAGGGTTTATATTTTAAAGAATTGCTAGAGCCTCGTGTAAATGCATGTGGCATTACAGGCAACCCTTCTGGTACTGGGGATGCCGAGGAGGTGTGTTTGGGAGCGAGGGATGTCCACGGCACTCTGTAAGGCTGCCCTGCCTGGTCAGTACTTGTCTTTCCTGTGGCACTGGCCTGCGGATTGTGCCCAGAGACATTCCAGGAAACCTGTTGTTTGGCAAGCTCTGGCAGACCATGTTGATAAATTTCCTGAATAGCAGTCAAAAGTAGCTGAAATGACAGGCCTTCAATTCCATGTCCGGTGAACTCGGGGATCAGGAAGAAGGAAGATGCAAAGCTAATGACAGCCAGGTCAGAGGAAGTGTGGCCTGAATGTGAGATAAGCAGTGGACGAAACTACTCTTATTAAACTGTAAGTTCCTTGAGGGCAGGGGCCTTCACTCCAGCTTCATTTTCCACAGCACCCAGCAGCATCTGATGAAAGAGGGAGGCCTGGAGTACCTTGGAGGGATTCTGAGTCCTTTCTTCCCTGATGATGGGCTCATCTCCAAGGCTTGAAAGCCTTGGCTTGATGGTACCTGTCCCTTCTAGGAGTCTTCATCTGCTGCGGGAACCCCCTTGAATATGCTGCTTGCTCCCCCATTTGCCCCCAGCTCCCCAGTCTCATTAGGCCACTACAGATACTGGCTCTAACTTGAAAGAGGTCCTTATCTTGTCTCTAGATTCCTGCATGAAATCTGTTCCTTCCTTCAGACTAAACTCCCTAGCTAATTCCATGTTATGAGTAAGTCAGCATGCACCACAAAAGCCAGCTTTGTTTATGAAAACACAAGCAAATCCACAGTGGGAGAGGGGCTGCGTCCAGGCTGGGGGTGGCAGTGGTAGTGGGCTGTCTGGAACCAGGACTGGAGAAGCAGCAGTTTGGGGTTGGAATGGGGCGGGGGTGAGGTCTGGTATTTGACAGCTGAGGGTCTCTAGTGTTTTGGTTCTGTGAAAGGACAGGTTGGAGGAGGAAGGGGGTATTTGAAGAGGCCGTGTTTTGGGAGAAGGGGATGGCACAGATATAGCACCTTCTTTTTAACAGAGTGGGAGACCCTCCAGCACAAAGTGCAGCTTAAGAGCCAAGTGCTCCGGCCTCAGGACACAGCGACCTGACTGTCAGAGACTCAGGCTTTCCCAACTCCCAAGTTCAACTTTCCCTTCTGGCCCAGCCACCTCCACACCCCAGCTTGGTTTCAGGAGCCCCTGGGATACTAGACAGAACCATACCCTCCGGGGCAAAGCCTCGCCAGGAGGAATTTTCTTTTTGTCCATATAAATCTCTTTCTGGGTGAGGACACGGTGGGGGAAGGGTGCAGCAAGAGGTCAAGGGGGAGGGGAGGCTGTCCCCAAGAGAACTGTAGCCCACCAGCCTGGTTTCTGCCAGCACAGCCTTGGGACTGGCTGAGCGAGAGCCTGGGGTCAGCGATGGGGGCGGGAGGGCCTCCCTGTCTCTCTCTTTAATTCCTAGAGGGATCTGTCAGAGCTCCCCAGCCAGGAATTTTACTTTGTTATTTCAATGCAATTCTGACCTGGATTTAAATGGAATTGGAAACCCGAGGCCTTAATAAATAAATATTATGATAAGAAATGAAAGCCATGCAAGAGGAAAGATTTCCCCCCAAAGAGGCAGAAGTGCAACATTCTTGCAGGAAGCCAGTCACAGAAATTTTCTTCTCTCCTTCAGCTGACTACCATGATATGAGAGGCGAGCCAGTTTTTCCACAAAAAAATCCTATTTTTCTTTATCATTTTTCTACTGATAAGACAACAACTTCGACATTTCTGTCTAACTCTGCGTGAGGGTTTGGGGTGAGAGGAAGAAACCTATAGCGTGGCTTTAAACTTTTCATTCTCAGTTTCTCCAGGCCACAACTTATGTTTCTGGCAGTTTGAGAGAACAGAAGACTCTCTCGTACTTTTGGAGGACAAGAAGTCTTTCGAGGATGCTAGGGTGGCAGTGAAGTAGGCAGAATTCTGAGGTGCGCGGTCACTTCTGCCCAAGGCCCCCCAAACTTCTCACTCATCCGTGCCTCCCCTGGCTCCTCCAGTCTTTCTCCCGGGACGCAGCGCCCAAAGGTCTGGTCCTCAGCCGCGGAGTGCCGGTGCATAGTGCCCGGTCCTGACAGCAGCACGCTTCCCAGCACCTGCCCTGCCCCTAGGAAATCGCACTCCCGCCCTCGGGCCCCGCAGCCCCGGCAGCCCCGCGGCCGCGCGTCCCTCTTTCCTTACCTTGCGCGGCTTTGCTGTGCTGGGCGGCACGGGCGTGGACCAGCAGGACGATCAGGCAGAGCCCAGGCACGCGCCCCGAGCCCATGGCTGGAGCTACCCGCGGCCGGGCGGCCGGGGCCGGTCTCGCAGCCCCGGGAGGGCGGAAACGGGCCGGGCCCCCGCGCGCCGAAGGGGGGAGGGGAGGGGGCGCCCCTCCGGGGCCGGGCTGGGGGCTGCGGGCGCGGGGCGCGGACCACGGCGCCCTGAACGGGAAGCTCCCGATGCTGCCGGCGTCTCCCGGCCCCACGCCGGGGAGAGCGAGGCGGAGAGCGCGACGAGGCTGGGGGCGCCCGGCGCTGCTGACGGAGGGGAACCCCCGCCCTCTCCAAGCCGGGCTCTGCGAGCGGCAGCGGCGGGGCTGCTCGGTATAATCCCACCCAATTCCCAGCTTCGCCCGGAGAGAGCTGCAGCCGAAGAGCGCGCAGAGCCGGAGCGAGGGACCTGAGAAAGGGGAGGGGAAACGCAGAGCCAGAAACACGCCCTTTCTGCCTCTCTTTCTTCCTCTCTCGCTTTCTCCGTCTCTCAGGCTCCGTCTCTTTTTCTTCGCCTTTCTCCTCCTCCTCTTCTTTCTCCTCCTCTCCTTGCTCCTTTTCGTTTTCTTCCTCCTCCCCCTCCTCCTCCTCCTCCTCCTCCTCCTCCTCCTCCTTTTTCGTGCCCTTTTTTTCTTTCAAATGGGGCCTCGGCGCAGCAGCCGCTCCCCCTGCGCGCCCGGGCGCGGCGGCCCCCTCCCCAGGCTGCCGGGCCGCTGCCTGCAGGAATTTACAATCCGGCGCTGGGGGAGCGGGCCCGGTCTCCATGGAGACGGCTTCCCCGGGAGCAGGGAGGTCAGGCGCAGACCGCGCACAATCAATGGATCAATGCAAGTCCCGCTCCGCTCCAGACCAGACAGCACCGGGCTCTGGCTAGTCCTCTCTCCCCGCGCAAAGAGTGGGGGTTTAGGGTGCGCCCCCGCGCTCGCACGCGATGAGGGCCCTGCGACGCAGGTTTGCACACACACCTCCACGAGGAGACAAAGAGAGCGCGGGGTGTCGGGGAGGCTGGGGCGGACAGGATCGCACGGGCACTCAGGCGTACCCGTCGACACAGCCCGACACATGGGACACAGCCACATAGGACCTCGGAAACACAGCGGCTCGAGACAACCGGCCGGCCGAGTAACGCCCTCCCAACTCCACCACACCCCTCACCCTCAGGACTCAATTCCCCTCTCCTACTGCTGAGTCCACTTTAGTTGAGGAGCAAGAAGAAAGTAGCCTTCCCTCCAGCCCAAACTGCCAGCTCCAGAGCTGACTGCCCTGCAGTTAAGGCCTTGGAGTAGCCACTGAGCCACCCTACCCAGATAGATCTGGGCTCACGAATAAAACACTCTAATGCGCTCAGCATAGGGGTGAAAGCTAGCCTGCAGAGGTAAGCCTATGTGTGTAAATACAAAGACGCACAAATATACACAACACAACCTCTAAACCTGCCCTGGAAGCTTCACGATGTCCTGACCAGTCCATTAACCCTTCAGCCATCCAACTTCAGGGGCAAAAGAAAGATAAACAAGATTTTTAAAACTAGGGGTAAAGTGTCCCGGGACCACGGACACCGCCTCCTGACGCGTTTACCAGCTTTGCATCTTCTCTCCTTCCATCCTAGGGGAAAGAGGAAAGACCTCTTGAAAGGTCATGAGGACTTTCTTGGAGTATGGGGCTTCAGTCTGAGTCTGTGTCAGGGTTTGGAGCCAATTTTCTGCAAGGAAGAGACCATTGGGACCCAGACTAACATCACAGAGCCCTCAGGGTACCCAGCAGGAAGGGACAATGACCAGGACCTCTCTGAAAATAACTCAGTTCTTAGACCCTTGACACTGGCAGCCCACATCAGGTGGGGTGACAAGCAGCCTTTGTCAGAGGCCTTCTTTGTCAGAGTGCTGAGCCCTTCCATTCCTAGGGATTGAGTGAAAAAGTAGAATGGAAACAGGCTCAAGCATTTGGGTTTCTTGTCCCTGCTCTACTCTGGGACGAAGAGTACCTCTGGGCAAGTCGCGTGTCAATGGGCCTCAGTGTCCTCATCTAGAAAACAAGACAATAGATTAGCTCAGTGGTGGAAAGGAGACAGTGCCCTTTGGAAGCCTGAGGGAGGAGGCTGGAGAACCCTTGGGTGGCATGAAAGATGATGGTTGGGATGGGAGCACATAGATCATGGAGGCCACAAAAAGGTTGGGTCAGATCTCCAAGGTCCCTTCCGGCCCTGTCATTTTAGGACTTCCCTCCTTCATTCCATTGGCAAACCCCTCCCCTTGAAGCAGCTTTGCCTGCTGCCACCAATTATGTGTAGGGCTGGAGGACAAGTGCAAACTTGCCATCCTCTCTGCCCCAAACAAGAGAGTGGTTTAAAAAAAAAAAAGACAAAAAAGAAAGAAAGAATTGGAAGGTGCCAGATGGTGCCTGATCCACATGGGGGAACAGGGAGAGAGCTGAGGAGCCCCCCAAAACAGGGAAGAGAGAGTACGCTGTGCCTTGCTTTGGGCACTGGTGTAAGCTCCTGTGGGTCCCTGAGGAGGAGGGCTCCAGCCCACCCTGTAAACCACAGATGAGGTGGCCATGGCGGATTCTTCAGGAGCAGATCAATAGGTTATGTCAGACTTTCTCTCCAGTTCAGTGCAATTTCTTGGTCCTCTGAATGTGGACATTGCCCTGGCTTGGGGGGTTATCCCACCTTAGCTGCAATGTCTCTGGGAGGCTTGGTATGTTTTACTCCAGTTTCCTTTTCTTCTTCTTCTCATTTTGCCAGCTTTTCCTCGGCCCCTCTAGGACCAGGTGAGTTTCTTCCACATCTGGGCAGAAGAGGCAGTTCCTGCCCTGTTCCCCACCATCCAACCTGGTTTCAGCCTACCAGAGGATTCTACAGGAGCAGAAACAGGACTGCTATCACTGGGGTACTGTGAATTGGGGTGCTGGTCATATTGCCCTCTGCCCTGCCCACTTCTGCAGGGACTCACAGCTGGATAGTGACTCAGGAAGATGACAAGGAAGGAATAACGAGATGGCTCTTGAAAGTGGTACTACGAAAGCAGCAGCACATGCCATACCCTCACTGGCAGACTGTCCCTGGGGCCTTTGGGCCTCCCACACTCACCTCTCGGGCTGCAGTTTGCTTTTGGGCTTCGTTTTCCTTCAGGGAAACTTCTGACATTCGTTTCATTCTAGCTTTTCCTGCAAATGTCTAGGTAGAGGACTGCGCTAGGGGGCCTATAGCTGACATATCTCGGTTCTGATTCTGCTTAGAGATGCCTCTGCCAGGGCTCCACCATGTTTGGGGACTTCCCTCCCCCTGCCAAGCCTCCTCGCTCTTTCTCTCTGCTCCTCTGCTGTCCCGTCTGTGAAACAAGTCTAGTGACCCTACCTTGACAGGCAGTATAGTCTAATGGAGAACATGTACAGGTTGGAACCACGAGTAGACTCCACCAAGGTCAATGTCGGGCCCTACCATTTCCCAGCCATCTATCTGTTCTTGGTGCATTATTTCACTTCTGTGAGTCTCAGCGTCATCATCTAGAAAATGGGTATGGTCCAACAACCTCAAAGGTGAGGCATACATCATGATCTAACTACACGGGCTCTAGAGGAAAGTAAGCCTGTGGTTCAAATATCAGCTCTGTTACTTTCTAGCTGTGTGACATCAGGTAAATTACTCACTCTCAGTGAGCTTCAGTTTTCTCTTCTGACAGTGGGGATAAAAATATCTGCCTCATAGGGTTATGGTGTTAATTAAATGAGATAATGAATGGAAACCCCCTCGCACACAGTGAGTCTTCAATAGGTGGTGGACATTGTTGTTATTTCCCCTATTTCTCGGAAGGAACTAAGTCCATAGTGTTTGATAGTAAAGGTTTAGTAGCACCTGGGAAGAAGCAGTTTTATCCCAGGCCAAACTTGGATGTCACTGAGTATGAGTGCAGCTTGTCACTGGGCTTGATTCTCACCATCCCCAATTGGTTCCTGTTTGCCACACATTCCTGCTGAGAAGGTTCCAAAAATGCCATGCATTCCAGCACACTGTCCTTGTTTGCAGCACTTCTAAGTTAGAGCGTGAGGAGGAAGCTCACCTGCCAGGAAGGACAGTTCCAGAAGTTCTCTTTCCCAGCCATCTTGCACCTCCTATGCTGCCTTATAAAGGCACACAAGTTCTGAGACACACATTAGAGCTCATAGCTACCATCTACTAACTACTTTCTATGTGCCAGGCACTGTACCAGGCACTCCACCACAAGCCTATCCAGCAAGAATTGTCATCCCCATTTTGTTGATGGGAAAACTGAGGCTTAGGTGGGTCAACCTGCCCAGATGACTGACTTAGAAGGAACAAAGCCAGGACTTGGTCCCAGGCCTGACTCTGAAGCTTGCATACCTCCTCTATTCTCTATATTGCCTTCTCTGAACCCGCAGACACCTAACACATTTTTTTGCCACTGTCATGGGTTAATCATTTGGGTCAGGCCGAGGGTCCCAGACTAGCCCCTTCACACACAAGAGGTAGTAGAGTAGTACCCTTGCTCTGGAGGGTCATACAGGAGGAGGACTTCAGAAGACTTGAGCCATCACTTTTGTCTGATGATGAAAGGTCACACCACATATTTAAAAGACAAAGCCAGGAGCAGAATCCATGTCTCCCATGACTTCTGACTCCTGGATCAGTGCTCCTTAGCCTGTACCCTTAGAGCTGCCAGTACTTACTTGCCTTTCAGTTCTCATTCTTTTTCTAATGATTTGATCAATCATGAACTCTTCTGTCAAATGGCATAGGGTATTTATCTCATACCTTCCTCCTGACACACACGGTCTGAGGCCCTCTAAGATATACAAAAGACATAGGAAATGTGACCCTTGCTCAAAGAGCTACATTGACAGCAGTGTTCGGTTCCAGGCCCCCCTGCATCACAAGGCAAGCCCCCGGAATGCCAAGTCTTACCAGGAAGACAAGGTCTATATATGCAAAACAGTCTATCTGCCTGTGCTATCAAGCAATTCAAACAGTGCCACAGAGTCAGAGGAAACAAGT